AACTCGATAACTTAACTTTTCAAAATTTTATTGCCCTGTAATGTTTTTGATTGATCAATTACTTCTTAATATGTGTATTCAACTATCCCACCTTATTTTGAAAAATTATCTATATACTTGCCAGTTTTTGCTTTACTAGTGTCAAGACCATGTTATTAGTTGCATTGAAGTTTATGATAATTATATTCTTGGTGGATTGATACTTACACCATGTAGTGTCACATTTGTATTTTTACTAATGCTTATATTCTATACTTTCTGATATTAATCAGTCTCTACCATTTGTGTGTGTGTTTTTGTGTATTAGTCTGGTGTATCTTGTTCCATTCTTTGTTTTCACATTTTCAGAATTTTTAAGTTATATATTTGGAAAGAAGCATGGAACTTAACTTTTAAAAAATACAGTATGATGGCCCTGGCTGGCATGGCTTGGTGAATTGAGCACAGGCCTGCAAACCAAAGGGTCACTGGTTGGATTCCCAGTCAGGGCACATGCCTGGGCTGTGGGCCAGGTCCCCAGTAGGGGGTGTGTGAGAGGCAACCATACGTTGATGTTTCTCTCCCTCTCTCCTTCCCTTCCCCCACTCTAGAAACAAATAAATTAAATCTTTAAAAAAAATACGATATGATGAATGAAAGAAATAAAATCATCTCTATTTTCAAGTAAACTGATTGTATGCTCAGAAAATCTGAAAGAATCTATCAGAAACAACAATAAACTCTCTTTGAACTGATACCTTGCTGACCTGATTAGTGGTTCAGCAAGGTATCAGCCCCAAGATCAGCATGCCAGAATCAGTTGCCTTTCTGTATATTAATAGCAAACAAGTAGAAATCTACATTTTTTTTAGAAAATGCAATACCACTTACAATTCCTCCAAAGAATATTAAATATTTAAGTGTAAATCTAACAAAAATGTATAAAATCTATATGATGAAAGTGACAGTGTGCTGATGAAAGAAATCAAAGATGACCTCAATAAATGAAGAGACATACTGTGTTCATGGATTGGAAGACTCAACGTAACAAAGATATTCATTTTCCCAAATTGATACTCAAGTGCAATGCAATTCCCATGAAAATGCCAGCAAGGGTTTTTTTTTATAGACATAGTTAAGATTATTCTAAATTTTATATGAAGTGGCTAAGGAACTAGAGTAGCTAAAACAATTTTGAAAAAAAATAAAGTTGGAAGAATGAGTCTACCTGATTTCCAACAGAGCTGCAATAATTAAGACTGTGCGGCATCAGTGGAGGGGCAGACACGGAGGTCAATGGAGCAGAATGGAGAACCCAGAAACGAACCCACACAAATATGCTCAACTTACTTTTGACAAAGATACAAAAGCAATTTAGTGAAGGGAGTACACAGCCTTCCCAACAAGAGGGCTGAACCGACTGGACATCCATTAAAAACAAAAACCCACCTGTACATCATACGGTATACAAAAATTAAATATATTAGTTCAAAATAAACCACAGACCTAAATGTAAAGTGTAAAACTTTAAAAGTTTAGAAAAAATCATAAGAGAAAATCTTGGGGACCCAGGGCTAGGCAGAGTTCCTAAACCTGACACCAAAAACATAAATCCATAAAAAAAAAACTGGCAATTTGGGCTTCATCCAAATTAAAAATGTTTGCTCTTAGAAAGACAAATTACAACTTGGGAGAAAATATTTGTGAAGCACATATCTGATAAATGACTTGTACCTAGAAAAAATAAAGAATTCTCAAAGCACAGCAGTAAATAAACAATCGAATTAGAAAACGGGCCAAAGATATGAACGAACTCTTACCAAAGAGAACATACAGATGCCAAATAAGCACATAAAACGATATTCAACTTCGTTGGCCCTTAAGGAAATGTAAATTAAAACAACAATGAGATATCACTGCATATCCATCAGCATGGCTAAAATTAAAAATAATGACCGTCAAGAATGCAGAGAAACTGGCTCACTCACACGCTGCCGGGGGGATTATTCAATGGTGCAGCCACTCTGGAAAGGAGTTTGGCAGTTTCTTTTAAAATTAAACATGTACTTACCATATGATTCAGCAACTGCTCTCCTGGGGGTTTACCACAGAGAAACGAAAATTTATGTTCGTGCAGAGACTTGTACGTGACTGTTCATAGCAGCACTATTTGTAATAGCCCCAAACTGGAAGCTATCCAGTCATCCTTCGGTGAGTAAATGAATCAACACACTGTGGTATATCCATGCCAACGAAGCGCACTCAGCAATAAAATGAACAAATATTGGCCAATGCAACAACCTGGGTGAAACTCAAGGGAATAATGATGGGTGAAAAAAAAAAAGGTTACAGACCACATGATTCCATTTGTGTAACCCTCTTGAAATAACAAAGTTATAAAGATGAAGACAAGATCAGTGGTTGCAAAGGATTAGGGATGGATGAGAGATGAGGTGGGTGGCAAAAGGAAGCCTTATGCCGATGGAAGGTTCTGTCTTGATTTTGGTGGTGGCGACAGGAAGCTCTTGATGTCTCGATGTGCAGGCAGTTTGTTCAGTAATCTTTTGCATTTTGCAATAAAAAAGAGCAAGATAAGGACAACCTGAGAACTCTTTCAGAGTGTTGTTATAACTGAAAATATGGTTTCTGTAGAAGATGCAGAAATGTGTGTCCTTGGAATTGATCGTGACACGGAAACTACATTATTGATCAATGAGAATTGCATTTTAATTTCATATTCATACAGTGCATGGACAATATAAACTATTCCTTCCGGTTCAGTGTGTTAAATACTGGATGACATCTGCATTAAAACACTAAAAAAATCATTCCACTTTGAAGAAGTGTCTGGACATTTGGCTTTTATCAACTAGAAAATTTCCTATAACGTTGGTCAGAAAATCATTCTGAAAAGCAATCCATCTGAAATTTTAGGAGGCTAAAGTTTTAAGATTGCTAAATATTATCTTTGACATACTCTGGAGTAGAGTATGAATTAGGAACAATCTCTATTCTAAAAATAATGGGTCTCCAATCAAAGAAGGGGTTGGAAAGGACTTCTCACTTCAAGACCTCTCCTGAAATATCAGCTTTCATAAATATCCATCTGTTTGGGCTTTAATTTCTCTTATAATCAAGGTTATGCAAACACAAATCTCAATTTTTTAAATGTGCATTTTAAAATCAGAAATGCAAGGTACATCTCTTGAACATTCTTAATGAATCATTGATTAAAATAATACCAATCTGTAAGAGGCAGATATAAAACTTGGATAATAAAAATTGGGGGCTAATTTTTAAAATTACACTAGATTAGTAAGTTCCTTTAACAAGGAGATTTCATTTTATAATTATTTATTATTAGAGATAGTATTTTAATGTCTTTACTACTGTCTTCATTTATTTTGTTTTCTGTTTATCAACTTTTTCCTTTCTATAATTTTATTTTTCCTACTCTCTGCTGAATTGATAAATTTATTCCATTTTTAATTTTTCAGCTGATTTTGAACCTATAATTTATATTTCTATCCTTGTTGTTGTTACCCTTATATTTTTAACCTATGAATCTATAAAATTTATAAAGTTGTATGTTATTCTTTATCACTGTTCTCTTAAACACACTGAGGATTTTGGCATGACTTAACCACATATAGAAGAGTGACTGATATTATTATTATTTTATTATTATTGTATAGAGTTTTAGTTTTTTCTTTTTTAGCACAAAAATTAATTATTTCAGTCAGTCATTAGTTAATATATATCCACTTATTTTGTCAACTTCCTTGCTTGTTATTATTTCTTTTACCCAGTATCTTCCCAGCTTCCCTGGTTCAAACCTCAATTCTTACTAGCTATGAGAGCTTAATCTTTCTGTATGTTTGTTTCTTGACTGTAAAATGAAGTTTCAAATGTATCTACCTCATAGTATTCTTGTGAAGATTAAAAGTCGCTGCGGTTCACAAGCTGTTAACTATTGTTATACTTATTATTGGGCTTTTTTCTTTATAATCAAGTTAATTCTTTAATGGGCCAATGAGAGGGTACACTGCCCGGGGTGAAATGTCTTTCTCTTGTCACTGTGTTGAATGGTAGTTTAGTTTCCGCACAAAAATCTAGCTCGATCAAAGATTCTTTGCCTTGGGCTGTTTGAATAGTTATTGCATCTCTCAGTGCCAATGAGAGGACCACTTTCAGCACCACGGTCCTTCTTTCATTGGCAACTTGTCTTTTCGGATGCTCTATCTGTCCTTGATGCTTTTGTGTGAATTTACACTACAGTGTGAATTTATTTTTACTTATGTTGCTTGGAATGTATTGAGAACTTTTAGTTTAAGGGTATGTCTTCCATTCTGGAAATTTCTCAGCCACATCAAATGCCATTCCTCTGTCTTTCTCTTTCATCTAGTTTTCCCCGGAACGCCTTTACATTTATTATGGAGCCCCCACATCTACGATTCATGATTCTTAACTTCTCTTTCCCAGTTTCCCTCTTGTACTGCGTCCCGTGTGAAGTTTTCAGTACTGTTTCCAATTCTCTCTTTGGCTGACTTCACTCTAGACTTTATCTCATCTACTGAAATTTTTAATTTCAAAGAATGCATGTTTCCAAAATTTCTAATCAGTCTTTTTCATACATACTTATTCTTGAGGATGTTAATTTTTAGCTGGTTCCTATAAATAACTACTCAATTGTGTAAATATCTACAGGCAGGCCCTGAGGTGAGGAAAGTTCAAAGACTTTGACCTGCTAAATTCACAGGAGGTTTAAAGCTTTCAATTCATTCTGAGTTATAAACTTCATAAATCAAGTCTATTTTTTTTGTGTGTGAAAATCATGCCACTGCAGTGACAAAGATTCTCAAAGATTTTTGTTTGGCTCCAATTTCATGAAGCTCAGGGAATCGACCATCCACAGGCATCAGACATCCTCACATTGCACACAGATCCCCAAGAAAATCAGACTGAAAGGTAACAGGCAAAAATACAGCCGCCGATTTGACTTGTCTCTTATTTCTCCCCAGGCGGTGCAATGGGCCCAGGGTAATTTGCAGCAATTAGCTGCTCCGTGAATTCAGCGTAATAGTGGCTGAGACACAATTCTGACAACCTGTCTCAAACCTGCCTTCAGAAAGCACCTCGGACTCATTCTTCTGTGCACAGGACCCCAACCTACAGAGAAAGAAGGAAGGTGAGGAAATACCTGCCCCATCAAGAGAATGTTCGCAGCAAAGCGTTACTCAACGGCCCCTTTCGGTCTGCAAAACATTCCCAGCTGTCCTGGGTGTGCTCTTTATTTCCCAAGGGCCAAGGGTTTCAAACTAAGATATTTCATTAATTCTGTTTCACCGGGAGCTCAGACTAAAAGGGTCCCTTTTTATCTTAAAGGACCCCAAAGTCCTCAAAAAGTTATGTGCCCATGATGTTATGTGCCAACCCCTGGTTTGAAGGCCAGTCCCCTCTGAAGTGCTGGGCTGAACTGAATCTTAAATCTAACGCTGCTTCTCACTGAACACGCCATGGGGTTTGCTAGGGTCACTAACTAGGCAAGGAAAGCCTCGGTTTTCAACTTTTGTACGTGGTAGTAGATGTACTGGCGTTTGCATTTTCAATAGGTTTTTAATGCCAGATAGGATTCAAATAATTTTCAAGAAAATGACTATGACTATTATACATCTTTATGCTGACAAATAGCTGTATGTGTGTTATTACGTTACCCTTATCACTGTCTTCTCGTGTGGGGCTGTAACACGGTGTTCACAGCCTGACATGGGAGCACCCTCTGCCCATCGGTCCCCAAGTACGTTCCTGTCCCCTCACATTAAGTTCCGTGTACCAAGTAGGATAGCTTTCTTATTGATTAGCTTTGTTTGGGGGCAATTGTAGAATGTTAGGGTTGGAAGATGATATAGACACTGACCTTCTGCTATAGAAAGATAAGCACAAAATCACCAGAAAAGTCAAGATCAAACATGTATCAGGCCTAAGATTAGAACTTGTGGTTTGTAACTTCTGGTCTGATGTCCATGAAAGCAGAAGGGCCTATAAATAAACATGAATATTTGGTCCATTCAGAAACCACCTGAGATATTCCTTATATTTCGTAATGAATCTATTAATAGAATAAAAATTGTAGCTTCTGACATGTTATAAACAAAATCAGCAATCCCACGAACCCATTATGAGATACTTAAGAACTTTATTTTGAGGGCTTCGAAAGGCAAAGGAAGGTAGCCAAAGGCGCTCTCTGCAAGTGGGCTGCTTTCCCAGACAGCCCAGAAGGAAAACAGAAGGAGCAGATTGATGAATCGGAGTTCTTTTAATAGTTCTAGCATGGTGTCTAACTGTGAGCGTGAGACCCTTCGACTCCATCACAAAGGTTAGCGATCTGGTTTAAAATGTTGATAAACTCACACTCTTTCAAAATACTGAAGTTGCAACAGGCTCTGCTCACTTCAGTGAAGAGACACCTACAAAACTGTAAGTTCATCACACGTGCCAAACCACATTCAAACTCACAAAGGTTTCACAGCCCATCCGCCCCGTCACGGGTAGTGTATTTCCAAAAGCCTAGTGGGTGTCAGTGGGTGCCAGGCACCCTCATTTCATTTCCCTAGTAAAGCAGTCTGGTAGATCTCATGATCGATATAGCCTCCATTTGGTAAACGAAGAAACTGAGATTTAGACAAGTTATATAACTTGGGCCAGGTCACGTCCCAGGAACAGCAGGGCCAGGATTTGTACCCAGGCCTCTCTGGTGCAGAGTTTGCTCCAAAGCCCTGTGCTCGCTAAGCTCCATCCTGCTACTGGTGGGGATGCGAGTTCATGAAGAAGGCAGTGCTGTGCCCCCAGTACCTAGAGCCGCACCTGGCACCCAGTGGTGCTTAGTGACTGTGAGTTGGGTGCATGAATGAGTAAGTTACCGAGAGTAACAAGAACTGCCTGCATCTTCAAAAGGGCTGGGAAAGCTCCTGCCACGTGTGGAAGGTGCGCATGACCCACGAAAGCTTTTCAAACAAGTCTTTGCTGTCGCCTTGTAGCACCCACCAAACTGCCCCCAAAGCATCACAGTTTGAACTTCACAGGAATTCCCCGGGGTAAACTGCTTGCTCTGTTCTGTTTCGTTGTGAACAGGTGGAGATACTAGGTACTGGGAATTATTTGAATCCCCAGAAGATAAATGTATGGAACACATCTCTTTCACTCCTTGCTGTGTTTCAATGTCTCCTAACGAATGGATGGGAGAATGTTGTGAAGCCTGCTGTCCAGAGTCAGCTGTGGGACGTCCATCCTACAGTTATCTCTTCCTTGGTTCGCTCATTCAGAGAAGGCTGTGCGCCCCCTAAGGTGCTTGGGAAGACTGAGTTAATCTATGTAAGAAGCGTGGCATAGTGCTCTGTATAGAGTAGGTGGTCAATAAGTGGTAACTATTTTCACATGAGAAGTGTCTTGTTTCCTTCCATGTATGGGAAGAAACTTAATGGCCTGCTCAGCAAACAGGGTACCGAGCGGCCCGCCCTGTGTGCCAGCCTCTGCTCCAGGTGCAGGAGTTAGAGAAACGAGGTAAACTGTCTGCGTTCGTGGGCCTCGTGTTCTAGAAGGAGACTTGGGAGGTAAATAAAATGCGGAGCGCTATATGCTTGGTGGCAAAAGGCAGCTCATAGAAGGGTCAGCGGACATAGGAGGTGGCCAGGGAGGGTTATTCCATACATCACAGGGGAAGCTGTCTGAGGGGCACACCTGACAGGAGTGGGGTAGGTCCCTGCAGACACCTGGGAATGGGGCATTTCAACAGAGGGAGTTGCTGGCCTGTTAAAACAAAAAAGGCAGGAAGGCCAGGAAGCGGAGTGGGTGACTGAGGAGTGGCAGGAGGTGGAGGCGGTGAGGTAGAGGGGAGCCTGGTCCTACAGGGGCTGCAGCCACGGGGAGGACTTGGACCCTGCCCGGAAGGAGATGGGAACCGCTAGTGGGTTGTGCGCAGAGGAAGGACAGGACCAGGCACGTCCGAGGAGGACGTGGCGGCCGCTGTGTGGGGTGGGGGAGCAGGGAGACCAGTGAGGGTGCTATTGCATGGGCCCAGATGAGGGACGACGGCGGTTCAGACCGTGTTGGTGACAGGAGGCAAGACAAGGGAGGGTCAGATCCTGGATGTATTTGAAAGGTAGAGGTGACTTGATTTGCTTTGAGTTGGATTTTAAGACTGAAACAAAGAAGAAGGTCAAAGATCACCCAAGGTTTTATACCAAAGGCATTAGTAGACTCATTTTGCCATTTTGTATGGGGACACTGAAAAGAAAGAATATTTTAGTCAGGGTTCTCCAAAGAGAGAGAGAGAGAGGCTCATGTGATTCTGGAGGCAGGTAAGTCCCAATTCTGCAGGAGGGTTGGCAAGCTGCAGACCCAGTCCAGGCACAAGGGCAGGAAAGATCTGGAGTCTCGGTTTGAGGGCAGCCAGGAGCAATTCCCTTACCTGCGGGAAAGTCAGCCATTTCGTCCTGTTCCGGTCGTCTGCTGCCTGGATGGGGCCTGCCCACATTTGGGAGGACAATCTGCTTTGCCATCTAATGACTTAACTGTTAACTTCATCCAAAACACCCTCAGAGAAACACCCAGAAAAATGTCACACCAAATATCTGGGCACCCCATGGCCCAGTGAGGTTGTCAGAAAAATTCACAATGGCAGAGGAGGAGCTCATTTGGAGAGGAACTGAGGAGCTGTGTGATAGACATATTAAGTTGAGGATACTTATTAAAACTCAAAGGAGAGATGTGGTTAGACAATTGGATGTAGGGACCGGTGTCAGACAGTATTTTTCTTTTCCCTTGTCCATCCCATATGCAGCCCTGATAGGAACTTCCTTGTGTTAACACTGACTCGAAGGGGCTCTGCCCTCATTGTAAGATCAAACAGCTAATCCAATGACACCTACTTAGCTATGTCAGAAAACTTATTCCTGAAGACATCAAGGCTTCTCACTTTTCTGAACTTTCTCCTTTGCTGTTTCATCTTTCTGGATGCTCTCTCCTCATCTGCCCACCTGGAAGATACATTTTCAAGATTCCCGAGATGGTATCGCCTCCTGCTTGAGTCTTTTCCTGTGTCATTTAGCAAACTTTGATCTACAGATGCTCTTGTTCTTCCTTCTCTTCAGGTTCTGCCTTCTTTCCTTCCTTCCTTTCGCTATTTTTCTTTCTAGAAAATACAAAGTTTTCACTTATTTTTATATATAAATATATACACACAATTGTGTATATAAATCTATATACACAATTATAGCCATAAGAAAAAGGATAAATAATAGTAAAAGGCACCTACAATCCCAGAGTAATGGTGTTTAACTAGCTTTCTAGAGTTTGCTAGATTTATAAAAAATTACATAATTTTATGAGTGTTTTTGTAATATGTTATATAGCCTGCTTTTTAAAATCAACAATATATCATGAAGTTCTTCTAATGTCAGTTAATATAGCTGAATGGGACTCATTTTCACAGCTGCTTATTTGAGTGTATGGATATAATGTACTTTATTCCACCACCTAATAGCGGCTTTCTTCTGGCTTTGGGTCCAACTGGATCCAGGACAGACATAGCACCTTGAGGACTTTCTCTGTTTCTTAGTTCTGTGTTTCTCCGGATCGACTTTATTTTCAAACGGGCTTTGTCCATGTTATATCAAAGCTGGTTCCAGGCCGTTACAAGCTCATAGTCCTTAACATCTATCATTTTTGGATGAGAAAAATCTTCCTTCTCTGACGGTGCCAACGAAATTCCCAGAGAGAGCTTTAATTGGACTGGTCTGAGTTACACGGCCATCTTTTAGTCAATCGCTGTGGCCAAGTGCAAGGTGATCTGGGGAACCGACAGACCCTGGGAGCCAGGGAAGGTTCCGTCTCCCCTCCCCTCTGTGAACTTCACAAGCAGAAAATGTAGGTAAGAGGATTTTCAAAAGATATAAAGGTGTTCCGGGACCAGGTGACATGGGCATAGTAATTGAGAAGCCAAAACCAATAATACTTAAGGCGGATTAATGCAGTTAAAAAAAAAAAAAACAAACACCAGTGCTTTTCTCTGGGGAAAAAGAATTTAATGACTACAAGTCAGTGTAGCATAAGATGTCCGGTTTGAACCTCCGTTTAACCAACAGGTGCCACACTCTTTCTGCTTCAAGGCCGGGTGACTCCTTCCCTTTACCAATCAGTCCTTTTCTCTCTCTCTCTCTTTTTGCAGTATCTGTTGTCACCATGGGCTGAGCAGAGTTGGATCATGAACTTCCACTGTCCTGGGCAGCCATCACTTCATCCCTGTGCCAGGCTGCTCCTTATGGCCGCTGAGGTACCACGGACTTTTTGCCTCTCCCATGCTGAAAATTTTCCTCAACAGAGAATTGGCCAGAAGAAGTGAAGGGCGTGGCAGCCAAGGCTGACACCTTTGGGATCTCATGGGATCCCATGCACTGATCCTAAAGTTGTTACATTTCACATTCGATGGTTCTCTGGCCTCACTAAACCAATGTACAACCAGAGGCATGTCAGGAGACCTGGCTGGATTCATCATTTGGCGGCTCTTTAAGTCACTTTGTTTGGCATTGACTCAAAGGAGGAACTGAGGGATGTGAAGGAGCCTAGGTCACCGGTAGCTGTCCCCCTACGCAGTCCCAAGCTCTCCTGCCCCACTCGGTAAGACAAAAATCCTGTGATATCAGGACACACCCTGCTTAGCACACAGACTTTCAACCACCGAACTTTGCGTGACTGTAGGGTCTCATAACACCACCTACCTCTACACAGGCAGATGGTCCCAGTATTCCAGAACAGTACTCCCCACTGGCATCCCAGAAAACCCTCTTTTCTCCATCTCATCTCCCACTTGGCTGGACCATCCTTAACCTGCCCAGCTCAGAGGAATGAAGAAAAATTTAACGATCAGCAAGCAGATGGTTAAACTTTGGAGCCAAAGTTAACCATTTCGGAGCCGATGTGCACCAGGGTTTGATGCCGTCAAGAAGAGAACAAAATGATAACCTGTGTGTGACGAAGGTGCCAAATGGGCAGAGGAGAGAGAAAGAGTTCGCCTGCAAAAGCAAGATGAAGCCCAGAACTGTTTCCCAACTCTCTTTAGCCGGGGAACCCTTTATTCAAAGGAAATCTCACTCCACACTGAGAGAGAAAGCAGCTGAGTTGAGAAGAGGTAGGGACCCAGCCGATCCTCCCCCTGCCTACGGCAGCCCCTGTGGCCCCTCCCTACGAATTCTTAGGACTTAACGTGGCTGAAAAACCGCTGACCTAGACCGTCTACGAGAGTAACAGTGAAGAATGCAGTTTGCTCCGAGACAGCCTGATGCTGCCTCGGCTTTGTTCCAATGTTAAAAAGGGAGCAGGCCACTGGGGGACAGACAAAATCAAACCGCGAACACATACCTTTGGGGGGTTTTCATCAGACAGTGAAATGGGATGCTTTGTGTCCTTCAACTGTTGTCTCTTATTATTTTTTATCTTTTCGAAGACATGTATAGGACAGTCAGCCTTTCCTTAATATTGGTGTGTAATTCTAAGCTCAGGTTCATTGTTTTTTTTCCCAATCTCCTTCTTAGTAGCTTTGTTTTAACTACAACACGCCTTTTCCTATCCCTCCCTCAAATTCTGGCCAATCCAGAGCTTACCACAGTTCTCGTGTGTTAACCTGCTGCCATCCTTACACTTCCTGTTCCCACTGGATTATTAAAGCTCCCTTGGGGAGGAAAAGGCTTCTATTCCAGTGTGCATTCCAGGCACCCGACGCAGGACATGTTGATCACCGATAAATATTCACTGAATAATGGCAGTCACAGCAACAGAATGGCCACAAGGCCGCTACGACGGTGACAACACAAGGCAAAGGGGGGTCGGGACAGGTACAGGAGACGAGGCTTTGGAGCCGATTGGAACGCAAGTCATACAAACTCTTTACACCTTCATTCTCTCATTTACAGGCTCGGAGTAATAGTATGGTGGCCTCACCTCTTTCTCAGGCCTGTGGTTGGAATTACCTTAAAACTCTTACGCGGTCCATGAAGCGAACTAAGCACACCAGGTTTGGCATTTTCCCTCGCTGACCCTCAGCAACTCCAGAACAGACCTTCCAAGTTCGGACGAACGGATGAAGTAAGTGGAAGAGCACAGAATTGAATCCACGGGAAAGGCGCCTCTGGGCCAACTCCAGTTTATGCACCTCCTCGGGGTGTTGGGGTTAACGTGGGGGAACATCCTCGCCTAACATCTGACGTGCTGCAGCCATGGGTGTCCTATACGCAGCCCGTGCTGACCCAGAGCAGAGCCCAGTGAGACTCTGTCCGAGGTTCCTCTTCACCTCTCCACCCTCCCCTCTCCCAGACAACGTACAGAACTTCTCAAGCACCTGAGAAAACACGTTTTGGAACATAAATCCCGTCTTCCTATGATTTTCTGATGTTGCATTGGAAGAGTCTCTGCAGAACAGCCCCACAGCATCCCTCTCCTCCGGGACTACTGTCCGGACCTGGTCCAGCTCCCTCTCCAACTTCGGGACTTGGATCCACTGTGAAGTGTGCACGCATCCACTTCACTCATTCCCCAACACAGTCACAGGGCTTCGTCATGCCAGGCTGCGTTAGCTCCAAACACCAGCAACACACCAGAGAGAGACGGACAAGTGAGTAGACAGTCACAATTCAAGGTGATAACGTCAGTGTCCAGACAGTGACGCCCGCAACCCTCAGGAGGGCAGAGGGAGGGGTGGCCAAGGACGTGGTGACTCCTGAGCAGGATTCCGCCTAAACACTGCTGGTAACAGGCTTCTGCTCAAGTGACATGTGGCTAAAACGCTGCGGTTTCAGTCTCAGCAAAACGCAGAATCCTGAAGTTAGAAGGAACCTTAGGAGCCCACTTCCTTGCCTTGTTCCGTCCATAGTGTGCTCTCTGGGGTTCAGATTCGGGCTCTGCCGCTTTCGGCAAGATTCCTGCAGCCCCCCAGTGAAGAGGGGGGATAATAATAGAACCTGGACAAGTTTTCAGTGAATCTTGGCCACTAAAATTATATCCTATGCTATTGCTGACCACCAGGAAATGTTTAAACGATAAAAGGTACAATTGTCCAGTTCTTTGATTATTTGTTAGATAATTATTTCTAAAGTTAACAGTTTGTCTGCTTATACGCCTGCAATAATTAAAAGATTTCACAAATATGTTCCCTAAATTTCAGAAGTTTTCCACATCTTACTTGGAAGCCAGACCTGTTCAAAGCAGAAGCCTTCTTATATGAAATTATTGATCACTGAGAGGAGAGGTATATACATGAAACAGAATGAGAGGCTTTTTAAAAATTGGTCTGCCATGGACTTTAGATAACCTTTCTCCTAATAACCATAAAACACACACACACACACACGCACACACGGTTAAGAAAATAAACTCCATTAATTCATATTCCTCTCAAAATTTATGACATGGTCTAGAGCTTGGTAAACCCCTTCTTCATAAAAAGTGAAAATTAATCATGTAAACAAGGTCTTACTAGGAATATTGAAATACTGAAGGAAAGCGACTGTTGAAACAGCCTAGTCCACAGGGGCTGAGTCACACCGTTGGCTTACTAGGTAGAAAGAGCTCATTAAAATAGCTCCAAGAAGCCAGTAATTGTTCGACTAGACAGAATGCATGCTTCAAAAGTAATGAAACTCTATATCTTTAGAGATATTACATAATTAAGATTTCCAGTTAAAGAAATCTGACCTTTCCCCCTAATAAAGAGGTTTTACTGTACAGAGATAGACATTAATACCACACACTCAAAGTACTCATGCTAAAAGGGCTACCCAAATCCAGCCTTCTGAGAGTTCTGCCGTTGTGTTGCCCTTTCCCACCAGTTAAAGGACACACCTCAACACTCCCGGTGTCCGGTTAGGGAAAGGCCTTGAGCCACAAGGGCTGGTGATTCTGGCCCTTTGGTCTGGGGAGTGTGGTCCTTTTCACAGACCACATGCCCAGGTAACTGAGCGTTTAAGTGATTTTACAACTGCTTTTGGACTTACTCTGCCGCACCGAGCTCTCTACAGTGTGTTTCGTTCTGTGGGACAAAACAGGATTTGGGCAGCGCTCAGCTAAGCCAAGTTCAGCTCTCTCGGCTGCAAGCTCCGTGGTGGCCTTGAGTGCAGTAACGCAGCTCTGAGAGAGCAGTGGGGTACAGGTCATCTCCTCCCCTTACTTGGTTCAGAAGCCTTTCTGGTGAAACAGTTTACAGTACCAGCCTCTCCAGAAGGCACTCTAGAAAACACTGGAATAACACATCCACTGCATTGCCAGAGTAGAAAGTGCAGCTCAGCTCGAATCCTTCCAATGGCAGCACTGTCCCGAGGAGATAGTCAAAACTTCCGCGTGGCCTTCACAGTCTGGCTCCCGCTTATCTTCCAGCCTCGGCCTCGTTTCTCGCTTCTCGCCTCTCGCCACACTCTCTCAAACTCACACTCCTGCGAGGGGAAGCCGTTGGTGGGTCTGCTGAGACAGAGGCCTCAGGGCCTCTCTCCTCAGGCTGTCTCCCAGCTCTGCACTTGGACGTGCCACCAGCCTCTGCTTGGCTTGCTTCCACCGGGTTTTCAGAGTGAGTTCTGGAGACGCCTTCTTAGACCTCCAAGCATGCACCCCCGAGCCTCTTTTATGTGTCCTCATGCCCACCTCATCTTAGTTCCACCCCTGCGTCTCCTGCCCTGAGCCTGGTGGGCCATCACTTAAGGTTGGGCCTGTGTTCCACATGCTGTTATGCGTAGTCCCAGGCCTACTGCCAAGGCCTGGGACACAGACAGCAATAACTATATCTGTGGACTTATTGAGTGGCAGCTCTTGCTAGACAGTTGAGGGCACAGTCCCTGCTGCTAGTAATGCAAGACTGCCCGGGCCTGCTCTGTGGGCATATGTAAAGGTCCGCCGCCTTGGCTGTTGTGGCTCAGTGGATTGAGTGCTGGCCTGCAAACCAAAGAGTCACTGGTCTGATTCCCAGTCAGGGCACATGCCTGGGTTGCAGGCCAGGCATGGGTTGTCCCCAGTTGGGGACGTTCGAGAGGCAACCACACGTTGAAGTTTCCCTCTCTATCTCCCTCCCTTCCCGCCTCTAAAAATAAATAAATAAAAACTTTTAAAAAAGTCTGCTTACCCATAGGTGGTAGCAGAGGGTCCCTACTCTACTGTATTGCCAAGTATGTATTTAGAGAACAGCCGTGAAGCCAGTTCTATCAATCCACATTAATAGGGAAATAGAAGTGGGGCATACACTGGTGTTTCTGCACAAAGACCCTTTTTGTAACACTAGCACACTGGGTCCTATCACATGGGCATGGGAGGGTGAGGCAGAGCTAGTGAAAGGAAAGGGAATCTGGTTCAGCGGCTCAGAGCCAGAGTTTCAGGACAACCTGGTACAGGTAGGTACATATTTATCAAGCCCTTCTTCTCTTGGGCATCCCGAGAGATTTCATCAAAACCTGGGGATGCAGCCGTGTAATTTCCTCCTCGTCTCTGTTATGGCATTTCAGAGTCCATCATTCTAGAGCAACAGCACTGGTGATGTGTCCATAGTGCGGATCTGGAAGTTTTGCTCCATAGTGGGCTCACGTACGTGATGAAGATGGTCGTGCTATCAGAATACTTAGTTGGGAGAAGAGACTAAAATTGCTTTCCTGGAACTTGAACTCCTCTGTGACTTTCAAGGAGTTCTTCAGGGAGGTGACCAACAAAGATGGTGAGAAAGATGGCGTCCTTGTGGGACTATGTCATGAGAATCTAGAAGTAGCCACATACAGGCCTGTGCTTCTTCTAAAGTTACTAGAATAGATTAACATCTCAGATTCAGGGTGGCTTGCCTATGTTGCTCAAGACCTAAGTCTTATTCACTCCCTGCTTCTTTCTTCTAATTGTCCTGCACAATTAGGATGGAGTTTCTGACCTTAATTATGTCACAGCAGAGTACTGCACAGATTGGTTTCCCCAAAGACTCTCCCCCTTGGGCTCCCACAGTTTTACAGTCCTTCTTTTCCCCACATCTTGGAGACTGTGGCTGCCGCTCCTACCCCCCACGACGAGAGAAAAAAAACCTCTGTGCGTGTGCATGTGTGTGCATACACCCATGAACAGTCAACCTCTCCTTTCTGTACAGTCTACTCGTGCACTAAACTCGGGCAGCAAAACATGCAATGGAGGCCCCGGCTGGTGTAGCTCAGTAGACTGAGCACGGGCCTGCGAACCAAAGGATGGCCGTTCAATTCCCAGTCAGAGCACATGCCTGGGTTGCAGGCCATTTCCCAATAGGGGACGCATGAAAGGCAACCACGCATTGATGTTTCTCTCCCTCTCTCCTTCCCTTCCCCTCTAAAGATAAATAAATAAAAAAAAACCATACAATGGTTGTGCAAGAATAGGACAACCATTGTCATTGGGGACCTCTCGGGTAAAGCTGAGTGTGCTCTTCCACCTGCTGGTTCCCCAAGAGAAGGATGCGAATTCTTGTGTGTTTTTGGTTTCCCTTCACGATTGGAGAGGTAAACGGCTTGATGGGAATGCACGTTGCTGCTATTGTTTTATTTAATTTTTTCAGAATAACAAACTCTCAGTGAAAAATTTTGTTTGTTAAATTTGGAAAACGTTGGAATGAGAACCCAAGTCTCCAAACTGAATCAAGACCCTCAAGTCTGTTGCTTCTGTAAATCAAGCTGTGATCTTGTGTGTTCGATGCCCGTGCATGGGGTCGGAGGGGTAAGAATTCAACGACAGGGAAGAGACCAGAAAGAATGCGGAGTCGTGGCTTCCTCTCTGTAATGAAGCCATGTGTTTCCCGAATTAATAGAGATATTATTTAGTGAATGTGTGAAAAAGACCAAGGCCACTTTGTGAAGTCTTTTTTGGTAACTTTTTATAATTTTCCCTGTGTTTTTATGGTCTCATCTAAGTTCTTGCTAAAGAACTAATTCGAGGTAATTCCAATAGACTTGGAAGGGCAGTTATGATACAGATGGTTGTGTGTTAACAAACTAGCCCTCTGGAAAAAATACAGCAACTTTCAATGACAGATGCTCTTTCACGTTGGTTGTACTATGCAGAGATAAGCTCACACCATGTTTTGCTCCCCATTTTACCCTATAATCTAGGGGATGTTAAAGCTACAGTTCACCATATAAACCTGATTAATTGAAGAAAATATAGCTTCTTATTGCTGACTTTATGAGGTTAGAAATAGCATCCAGTGCTACTCTGTGATGCCAAGAAATGAAGATGGCTTAAATCAGATCTCATGACTAATGCATGAAATCCAAAGTTCTTTTATTCCCGGCTATTTTAGAAAACTGGGATGTATTTTTACCCTAAAAACTAATTCTATAGATTTATTGAGATAATACAAAATGCCTTATTATTAACAGCACACAATCAAGATTTCATCTTACTGATGATCAGAAAAACGTTTCTCCATTTTAATTTTTCAAAAAATTATGCAACGGGTTAAGTCCAGATTCAAGGATATTATTATATTTGATTCTTCATTGTTGTGTTTTTAGATAGTCAATGTCTGGAAAGATGATGGAAAGTTTAGATTGCTTTCTGTGGTTGCCATTTCATTTTAATTGTACTTGTGAATTCATTTAAATGGAAAGAAATAGATCTAGTAATAAAGTAAGCCTGTTCTTTTTGCTTGTTTTTGTTTTGGTCATGACAAACTGAAATGCCGTGGTTTTCCTATAGTTCTAGTCCATGAAATCTGCAATCTTTCCACTTGATTTACGAAGGACCCTTAATTACTCCTGTCATTAGCACCTAGTGTTCAAAACAGTCTGTTAAAATGTACTGTTAGTCTCACCTCCGAGTCCCTGCTTACTTTAATTTTTTTCCAAGGGTAAGTAAAACAGTAATCGCCTTAATAACAACAATCATTATGTACAGAGAATTAAATAATATTCCAAGTTTTTTGATGCCTATTTTGTTTTGCTCACAGTTCGGCATTTGTGTGTGAAGAATGGCCTCGAGTTTGAACAAGTGTCCATAAAGAGGGTTATGACTAGAGAGGACTTATTACCTGGGTTTCAAAAACAAGTCACTCATTTGCCTTTTTCTTTCCACATGAATAGGGATGACAGACAACTGCTGTGAAGCTTCAATGTTTCTGCCTGGTCATGCACAGTTCTGCAATATAATGCATAAATGTATAACAACAACTTGGGCTCCCTCGATACCTCGCTTGGAATAAGGAAATCCAGCCGGGCGCGTCCATGTGGCCCCCACCCCCCATCCCGCGCGCGCGCGCGCGCTCACACACACACACACACATACACGTCAAAAGTTGATTCATTCTCGAGATCTCCCAGAATCTTTATTTTTCTCTTTTCTGGCAGCTCCGGTTCCCAGCCTGGGTTAGTGAGCCTGGGGACGTGGGAGGGGCGGGGAGAGCGAGGCGAGGGAGGCGGGAGCCCGTTGCCGGTGCGTGCCGCGCCCGCTCCTGCCGGGTGAGAGTCCGGGCCGGGTTTTGCGCCGTGTCCCCGGGCTTGTCTCACGGCCTCCAGCCGCCGCCGCTGCCGTGTTTACTGAGCTCGCGCGTCCTGATATCACTCCGCTGGCATGGAGGAGGAGGAGGAGGTGGAGGAGCGAGAGGAGGAGGAGGAGGCGGCGGCGGCGAGCAGTTGATCATTGTGATGGTGGCAGGAGCAGCGGCGGCAGCGGCAGCCCAGCCGAGCGTTAGGGGCTGCTCTCCGCGCGGCGTTTTGCAAAGGACTTCACCGATCTACTTTTGCAGTCGCCTCGGACTGTCCATGTGTTTACTTCCCCCAGCCCGAGGATTTGATATCTAGGATCCTGTGAAATGCAACTGAGCAGCCAAAGTACTTTGAGAACACGGGGCGGCATAAACACCAAAACTTTTTTGTGGAAGGAAAATGCAATAAGCAAGCTTGCCGTTTTCCGATGCGGTGTGGAGTGAGTGTGTGTCGCGCGTGTCCGCACTGGAGGCATATGCTTGTGTGTATACATGGGGTGTGTTTTTCGGTACGTAGGGAGAAAATGCTTGCCAACCACCGGAAATCTCCTGGAATTTATTAGAAAATAATGGATTATAAAAAGAAGGCAGGCGAGGAGCGGATCTCCCCTTGAGTTGCAACCCGATTTGCTGCTGGCTCAGTTTGTTGTGATTCTTTTTGTTGATAGGTGTTTGATGGCATTCTGATCCCCCCTTTTTTCTCCTTGAGCTTTACAGTTTTTACAAAAAGGGAAACAAAAAACCCACCCCAAAATCTCTCCCCCCTTTTTTTCGCCCCGTCGGGATTGCTGTTTCCATCCATGTGCTTGCGTCTCCCCCGCGTTCCACTTAAACTATTTTAATCCTTGGACCCAAGGAGGAGGCTGATAGGGGGGTGGATAAAAAAAGTTCTTCCAAAATAGTGTGCCCGGGGAGCAGGATGGGGGATTTCGCAGCCCCCGCTGCCGCCGCGAATGGCAGTAGTATTTGCATCAACAGTAGCCTGAACAGCAGCCTCGCCGGGGCCGGGATCGGTGTGAATAATACTCCCAATAGTACTCCAGCTGCTCCGAGTAGCAATCACCCCGCTGCCGGCTGCGGCGGCGGCTCCGGGGGCCCCGGCGGCGGCTCGGCGGCCGTCCCCAAGCACAGCACGGTGGTGGAACGGCTCCGCCAGCGCATCGAGGGCTGCCGGCGGCACCACGTCAACTGCGAAAACAGGTACCAGCAGGCTCAGGTGGAGCAGCTGGAGCTGGAGCGCCGGGACACCGTGAGCCTCTATCAGCGCACCCTGGAGCAGAGGGCCAAGAAATCGGGCGCCGGCAGCGGCAAGCAGCAGCACCAGAGCAAACCCCAGCAAGATGCGGAGGCTGCCTCGGCAGAGCAGAGGAACCACACGCTGATCATGGTGAGGGCGCGCTGGCAGCGGGCATGGGGCGCGCGCGCGCGTGGGGGTGGGGGCTGGAGCTTGTTACAGGGGGGACGGGGATCTGATTTGCACGGTGGGCGAGGTGGGCTGAAGCCAAAGGGTTAACGTCAACTTTTCTTATGGGGGAAAGCTGCCGTCGCTGCTACCTGTTAATCTGTCAGGGTTGTCAGATTTGGAGAAGAGGAGGCGAGAGGGGATGAGCCAGTCACGACTGCGAGGGGCGGAGGGAGCCTAGAGGAGCAGCGGAGGGAGGCACTGGAAAAGTTTTTCTGTCTCTCCTTCTCATAGATACCGATTTTTAAAGAGAGTGAACCCAGAGTTGAAACCTCGCTCCTCCTCTTCACGATTCCCACCCCTCCCCACCCTTCGCAATGCCGCCTCGGCTCCCCAGACGCGTCCCCCTTCGCCCACCCCTCTCCGCACATCCGCCGTGTGCGGGGAGAAACTGATGCTGTGGCATATTCTGGGCGGGCACCAAGCCCTCAATCCCCGGGGGGGCGGTGGGGGAAGCAAGAGTCTTTCGCCTTTTCTCCCCAGCTCACCCCCTTTGGGCTGAGCAAGTCTGAGAGTTTTGTGAATGAACTTTGAAGTGGGTGAGGAGGGAGCGAGGGTGGCCGCGCGCGCGCCATCGCGGGAGCGCGCGCGGATGCGGGGCGCGGGTGCGCTCCTCCGCAGCTGGAGACCCTGGGCTGGCCCGGCAGGTGGAGCGGCGGGTAGGGCCGAGCGGGGGGAGCGGCTCGCTAGGGGCGGGAGGAGAGAGCTGCGTGCTCAGCCTGCGCCGAGAGTCTCTGCCACGCAACTTCGCTGGGGATTGTGTCTCCTCCTCCTCTTAAACTTCCAAGCCCAGAGCCTCTCCGCTTCGCCCCCCGCCCCACTCCCCGCCAACTTTCCGAGCCCGTGTACTAAGCCCGGAGGAGTGAAGAGTAGCTGAGAGGTGAAAGAGGTTTAAATGGCTGAGTGGGTGGGTTCGAGGTAGACAGAGCAGCCAATGGCTTAACTTCTCCGGGAGGAAGGGGCAGTTCCCACCCCCTAACCCTGAGGGTAGAATCCTTTCTCTTATCTCCAGTCTCAGGTTCTTTTGCTTTCCTTTCGGGGTGGGGGGAGGCCGGAAGCTCAGAAAGGTGTCAGCAGCCCCTTCCCCCACCGCACTACCCGGGTTAGTGAAGCGCGGGTGTGCTGAGCGGACCAGGCGATGGGAATCCCGGAGCGCGGAGTGCTTTTGCTCGTTCCTCCGGCACACCGCACCTCGATCGGGGGCCCTCGCACTGTGCTGTTGATAAATCGCACACGTCCGGGGTCCGGGAGTCGTCGGCGCCGGGGGTGGCGCCGATGCCGCCGCAGGCTAGCGCCGGGCGCTCAGGCCAGCGCACCGTGACAAAGAGCCGGCTTGGGGGAGGGGAAGAGGCGAGGCTGCGCGCTCACTCCCCACCCTTTTCACCTCCCCCGCCCCCGCACGTGAAGAGGAACAATTTGTTTATCTTGGCCTTCAAGAATCCTACCCTCCTCCCCGTTCTCCTAGGCCGTCGAGCCCCTCCTCCCTCCCCTCCCTCGGGGGCGCGATCCTGCCCAGTCCCGCCGGCAGCACCTTCCTCCCCCTTTTCCTCTCGAGCCCGCTCGTCCTCCAGCCCGCTTTCCCCCTCCCTTCTGGGACGCGGCCGTGGGGGAGGGAGCGGGAAACGCTTTGTCCGCCTCGCGGCCCAGCTCAGCCCCGGAGGCCGCGGGCTGGGAGGGGCGCGGAGCCCCGCAGCCCTGCCCCCGCCCCGCGGCCACCCCCGCCCAGCTCCTCCTGCAGACGAGCGGGCCCAGCGCGCGAAGAAGAGGCGTTCTCGGTTTTGAGGAAGAACGGGTGTCATGTCCCAGAGTCAGGGAGGGCGGTTCTCGCTTTACAAACAGGAAGCCGAAAACCACTGGCACACTGTAGCTTGTCTGATTGTACCAGGAGGCGGGGCCGGCCCTGCATCTTGACTGTGTCTCCCGCGCCCTCCTCTACGGATTTCTCCCTGGTCCGCCTCACCTACTCTCCCCGCCCCCCTCGCGCCTTTCCGCGGATCTGCAGACTCGGAGCCTAAGCCTGAAGCAGGATTTGCGAGGCACTAAGGATTTTATCTTTGCCTACTCCACGCCTCCTTTTCATGTGTTTGTACGCGCGGATGGCGTAGAAATGGGCTGCTTTCGTGACGCTCCCAAATCTCAGTCCCACGGAATTTCCCCCGATTATTCAGGATGGAGGACTTCTGTGGCCTGCCCTCGCCAGCCGGGCACCGCTGGAACAAAAGCCAGCGACCTTCCCTGTGCTCGGTTGTTTTTCATCGCGGGGCAATAGCGCTAGAGTTTGCGGCCAGAAAGTTTTGCGTTCCCTCGAGGGTGCCCCTGGGCCCTCGGAGGGGGCGAGGTGAGGACCCGGAGCGCGCGCTCCTGGGTTCTGTATACACCCGCAGGTGGATCCTTCCAGGATCCTGACGTTACCTGGAAGGAGGGAGCAAGCCTAGGCCAGAGCTTACTTTAGAAAATGAAAAGATACTGCTTACTTGAATGGATGAGACCTAAGCTGTAAATTTCATAGTGAATTCCGGTTTAGCAACTTAACGGATAGACTAGAAAAATGGTTGCCTGAAAATAACATTTCTAAAGTCGTGTGTGTATGTGACAATTTAGCCTATTCGTTAGACTGGTGTAAACTCCAAGGCTATAGGTAGAATAGAAGTATATTCTGACTTCAACTGGATTTCACATATGCATCTCCCACTAATATCAGGGGCAAGTCTGTGTGATGGGTGTAATGAAAATAAACAGCCTTAAATCTTAAGCAAGAAGTTGCATACACATTCCGTGTACCACAGAAAGGAAAGAAAAAATTAAAACCATCCTCTACAAGTTGTTTTTCCTTTAAAAATAGTTTAAGAATCCACATTGGTCCCTGCAATGAA